TGCTGTGATGTGCCCAGTGTGGGCTCTCAGGGCACTCCAAGCCAGGACTGCTTTGCAAGCCAGGGCACCCTGAGAACTGTCTGTCCAGGGTGGGGGTTGGGACCCTTTAAGCGCAGCCCTCGGCTAGCCTGACACAGCATCTCCACGCTCTAAGTCCTCCTCTGATGCCCTGCCTGCACTGCTTCCGGCCATCCTTAACCCCGGTTCAGGGTCCACTTAAAGTGGACATGCTAGTTCGAATTAGCAAAACGCTAATTCGAACTAGTTTTTAGTTCTAGACGCGTTAGTTCGAATTAGCTTAGTTCGAATTAACTAATTTGAACTAAGTTAGTTCAAATTAGCGCTGTAGTGTAGACATACCCTCAGATCCTCTGGTGGAGCTTCATTCTCTGATGTAGAGTCAGCGCATGCACTGGACCAGCGTCGTTAGACTCTGAACCCCGTGGCCAGCAGTCGGCACAGTGGCCCTGTCCTTATATGTAATACCCAGTGTGCAGGAATTGAACCTGGGAACTTCGGGCCTGACGTTGTGACGGTTGTGACATGGTTTAAATGAACCATTTTGGCTTTTTGTTTCAAAATGAGGTTTTTTGGGAAATTTAGCTAAGTTTGCATTTGATGGAAAAAGGCCAATGACCCCAATGCAAACCAGCCGCGACCTTTCACCCACGACATTGGATGAAAGGTTCGATCCCAGATGAACTGTTTGGTGTGTTTGTTTCAGTGAGAAAAGCCCTGAAAAATCCACCTTGGGTTGCCCAGGGACAATTTCCCCCTGGCTAATTTTAACTTGGTTTGGTCTCTGTTCTGAAAGCATCCGGGATTCATTCAGCTCTTCCCTGGCCCCTGAAAATGATCCAAGACACCAAGCCCTCTGTCACACTGTCCCTGCTACCTGAGCTAATGGGCTGAGTTTGTTACTGGGAGGCTGTTCAGACCAAAAACCTCTGCGTGGACCAGGCTCCTATGTCCAGCCCTATGAGGTCACGTGGGTGTGTTACTGTGTGATGTGATAGGGGGACATCTGCAGGGCAGGTGGGAGGTATGAATCCCAGCTCAAACAGACACCTCCCTCCCCAGTAGGACAGAGCATTCACAGGGGCCAGACAGTGGATTGTCTAGGGTCCTGGGCCCTTGGGCTGCTGTGTCTCAGATCCCAGGTGTGCGTTGGGGAGAAGCTGAGCTGTATGGTGGCCATGCTGCTTTGTAGTCCAGTCAGAGCTGGTGAATGTGTGTCTACACGGAGGGTTGTGGGGGGATTGCAGCTGTAGCTGCAGTGCTGACAGGGCCCCAGGCTGGGGTAAGGCAGCGCTGCAGATCACTGTGGTGCTGTGTGAATGAAGACAGTACCTAAGGTGTGCTGAGTGACAGTTGAACAGCCTCCACTCCCATTGGTTGCAGGGGCAGCTGGTGGGGCTCCGCCCCCAGGGTATAGCCCTACAATAATAGAAAATCAGATCTGGAAAACGGGATTGTCTCCCTGCATATCTGGGGAAACTGAGGCCTCTGGAAGGGAAGGGACTTGGCAAAGGTCACATGGGGAGTCTGTGGCAGAGTTGGGGTCAGAACCCAGGAGTCCTGTCTTCCCAGTCCCCTGTTTTCACCTCTAAATCCCAGGTGTCCTGTCATCCACTTCCCACGCCACTAGCACTGCTCCCTTTTGGGGGTGGGCAGTATATTGCAAACCTGCTGGGAGCCATATTCCTGGCATGGTGCCCCCCTCTGATGCCAGCTGCTGGTGCTACCTTCTCTCTCCCCGTCCTCCCATAAGACAAGGCTCTATTGTGCAGAGCTGGGCCCATCTGCATTCAGTGGTATGCCTATGAAGTCTCTGCCCCTGCAATCCCAGCTTTGCATCATGTTTTGGGGAACAGCACATCACAGACCCAGCAATGCAGTGCAATGGTGAGAGCCAGTTCAGGTACGGGGTAGAGTGACCAATGCAGAAGGTTCCTGGGGCTGAAGGAAAGATTCCCACTGGATCCAGTGGGGTTTGGGTCAGTGTGAGTTGTCTGGGGCAGTAGAACACTGGTGTCAACCTATATTCTCTCACCTAGATATTGATGAATGTTCCCGAGACCCATCGCCCTGTGGCCCCAACTCCATCTGCACCAACACACCGGGCAGTTACACCTGCACTTGCCGGGCAGGCTACCTCGCGCCCAGCCAGGTTGGCTCCCCTTTCAGCTGCACAGGTAAGTGTCTGACATGGGGTGCAGGGAAGCTCTAGATATGAGAGGCTAATGCTGGATCTCCAGTGGCTCCCATGCAAGAGCAGCTCTCCCTGCCCCACCCCACCCCACCTCTTCCTACTTTTGCCTGAGCTCCAGGTGCCGTGGCTGCAGCGATTTCATGAGGGTCCTTCCCACCCAGCCCGACTAGTTAGAGGATCTGTTGCCAAGCAGCTCGCTTCCTCCACCCCTCTGCTCACTGAACCGCATGGCCCCTGTGTCCACGGACACCTCCACTTTGCCATGGACCTGGGAGAGACAACTAGATTGTCTCCCTGCTCATGTGGGGAAACTACTTCTTCAAGGCGTGTCCCTGTGGATGCTCCACCTTAGGAGCACCAGTGCCATTGCACTCATGGTCGGTAGACGTCTAATTGCAGTGCCCTCTGGTTGGCTGTGCGTGCGCTGCACTGGCACATAACATTTAGAATGGTTATCCCGCATAGACAGCCAACCACCTCCTTGTTTCTTCTCTGATTGCCGCCGGCTTCTGTCACAGTCACCTTCGTTCACTTCAGCCTTTAAACTCCTGTTAGATGTTTGTAGTTAGGTTAAGTTGAATTGTAAATTAGATTAGCCTTCTCCACCTTTTCTTAAAAAAAAAAAAAAGACTAGAAAAGAAGAAAGGGGAAGAATGAGAATCTCCCCTGCACTTTACAGAAGCCGCGGTTTTCCAAGCCGACTCATAAGCAGTGCTTCACAAGAGACCGCCTAAAAGAAGAAATTTATCAGGACATGCCTGGTGCCTCAGGATTCAAAAAGTCTGAATCCTTCAGGCTATCTGTATCCATTGCTGACAGACACTCGTGCTGTGTCCGCTGCCTAGGTCAGGGTCATAACATGCAGCAGTTCAAGCACTGTCTGAAATTGATGAACAGGACCCGAAGATCCAGACAGCTGTAGATAAAAATGATGCAAATGGAGTCAGACTCCAGATCCACAACTGAAAAGGCTCCCCACACAACTAGATCCCCTGGGGTGCCCCGGATAGAGGGCTAGACTATATCCCAAGCCCCAGGGACCATGCCCAGAAAGAGGTCCCACTTTTGGTGGCATCAGACTCACTACCAACGAAGCACAGCAAGTCTGCCCCTGTGCCTACGAATACCAAGGTGACGGATAAGCAGATGGGGAAGGGGACTGGCACTCAGAAAAGCCAGGACCCGAAGGAGAAGGTGTGACCTTCCCCCTCTCCTCCCAAGACACCCATTGAATACAAGAAAAAATGCTCCAAGCTGGCACTGACAGACCCGCCACTAATGGCCATGCCGAAGGTGGTAACAACAGCAGCAATAGCTGCCATACCCACAGCACTGCTCAAATCACCGAAGAGGGTGCTGACAAAGATAGGAATGGCGCCACCAGCAGAAGCGCTGACAATGGCACCAGAGAGAGTATTCTCAGTGCCAGCTCCCGGTTCAGCATAATAGCGTGAGAAAACACAAGAGCCATAGGCACTGGCCACAATACCTATGCCAGCACTGGCTCCATTTAGAACACAGAGCAACTTGATGCTCTCCTCACCATACCTGCCTTAGTTTACCGCCACAGTGGAGTTGGCAGCGGAGTTGGCGTCGGGAACACCATTACGTGCCCCCGGGGGCACCCTAACTTCCTCCAGGCATAATAGCGTGAGAAAACACAAGAGCCATAGGCACTGGCCACAATACCTATGCCAGCACTGGCTCCATTTAGAACACAGAGCAACTTGATGCTCTCCTCACCATACCTGCCTTAGTTTACCGCCACAGTGGAGTTGGCAGCGGAGTTGGCGTCGGGAACACCATTACGTGCCCCCGGGGGCACCCTAACTTCCTCCAGGCATGGCTTCTCACCATCTTCACCTTCAATGCGCTCACTACTGAGCAAGGAGGAGGACGAAGAAGGCTTTTTATACAAGAGTCTCCCAAAAACGTCGTCCCCTAAGCCATGACAAGGTCAACAGTGGCAACAAACACAATGACTCCTGCCACCCATGGCAGCCAATTGGCCTTACTGGGACCCGTAGGCAGCCTACAGACTACTACAATCCCAGATACCTAAGGGGTGCCAGACACAAGAGTCCCCTGAGAACTCCCCTGAACAATCTACCTCGTCAGGGGAAGAAGGAGAAATGGATGTCACAGGTGCGGAAAGAGCATTAGACTCAATACCAAATGAGCATCTTACATCCTCAACAACCGAGGACACAATCATGCCCCCACCAAACATCACTGGGGATGATTTCAGGTCTTTCCAAGAGCTCTTTAGGAGGGTTGCAGTTGCTCTTGACATTCCACTTACAGCTATGCCCGAGACCCAGCACAAACTTACAAACATCCTGCACACCTCGTCGCAGAACAAGCTGGCCATCCCTATGAACAAAGCACTGATGGACCCAGCCAAGGCTCTGTGGCAGACTCCAGCATCAATTACACCGACCGGTAAATGTCTGGTTGAAAATACTTTGTAGCTCCAAAGAAAGCAGAATTCTTATTCGTTGGTGATAGAGGCTGCTAATCAAAGGGGCAAACAGCAGATGAACCACACAGGCCCACATGACAAAGAATGGAAGCATCTGGTGTATTGGGCAGAAAGGCCTACTCGTCTGCGAGCCTTCAGATCAGGATTGCAAATTACGTGGTGCTCCTTGCTAAGTACACACACCATGTATTTGATCACTTGTCAACCTTTAATAAAGAGATTCCTGACAACAAAAAGGAACAATACTGTGCAAACATGAAGGAAGGGACATTAATCACCAGAACAGCCCTACAGGTAGCACTGGATTCGGCAGACATCAAGGTCCTTAGTGTCCGCAGTTGTTATGAAGTGGGCAGGGCTGGCCCGAGCCATTTTGGCGCCCCAGACCCGGGAATGCGGCGCTGCCCCCGGGCGCATGGCGCATGTGCAGGGCCACCCCCGGGGCTCACGGCGCATGCGCTGCCCGGCCCGGCCTGGCCACCACTGCTGGTGCGCAGCCCGGGGTGGACCGTGCCTGGCCGTGCAGGGCCCCGCGGGGATGGGGGGGGCTGCGCGCCCCTTACAGCTGCCATCAGGTGCCCCCCATAGGTTGGCACCCTGGCCAACTGCCCGGCTAGCCCACCCCTTAGTCCAGCCCTGGAGGCGGGGGTGGATTCAATCCACAGTCGAAGATCTGCCGTTCGAGGGAACTAAGATGTTCGCCATGTCCACTAACGCTTCCTTCCATACACTTAAGGACTCCAGAGCCACTCTGAGGACACTGGGTATACAAATACCTTAAAACAAAAAGAAACAGGGAAGACCATTCCCATAGTGCTATAGACTAGCCCCGTATAATCAGCAACTGAGACATTACGACAATAGGCGAAGGCCCAGACAGAGCAGACACAGGCAGGCCTCCAACCAGGCAACTGCGCAGCACCCTTCAACATCCTGTCAAGCATTTTGAATGTTTAGTTCTGGGTTGGACAGCCCTGAATTTTCCAGGGCAGCAATACGAACATTATACATCATTTGGCAGCAGACTAGCTGCATTCTATCCAGTGTGGCAGACCATCACCACAGACAAATGGGTGTTGGAGAAACAACAAAACTGGTTACTGCATCCCATTTACTTCCATACTGCATCACCAACTCCCCTCCCCGTCCCTCTTCAGGGACCCCTCTCAGGAACTTGTGCTCACACAGGAAGCATAACACTGGAGGCTATAGAAGAGGTCCCACAAAACCACAAGGGGAAGGGGTTCTACTCCCTCTACTTCCTGACCACCAAGAAGTCAGGAGAGTGGAGACCAATATTAGATGTCTGAAAACTAAATCAATTTATTCGCTACCAGTGGTTCAAAATGACAAACCTAGCTACAATCATTCCAGCCTTGGGAAAAGGGGATTGACTGTCCACCCTCGACCTCTGAGATGCATACTTTCACATCACAATATACCCATCATACAGACAATTCCTGAGAGTCACTGTAGGAGACAGGCACTTTCAATACAAAGTGCTCCCATTCGGACTTTCAACAGCACCAATAGTTTTCTCAAAGGTCCTGGCCATTGCAGTGGCACACCTAAGAAGACTGGGTGTGATCATTTTATCATACCTAGACGATTGCCTAATAAGGGGGACCACAGCGCAAGACACACAGCAGGCAGTGGCCACCACCGGGCACTATTTGACACTCTGGGCCTACAGATCAATTTGGAGAAGTGTATCCTTACACCAACCCAGACCATAGACTTTATAGGTCTATAGACCAACCCACACCTGGACTGTACGAAAGTGGTAGAGTTGCTACCCCAACATAGATTCACAGTTATCACGGTTCTAGTGTCGTTAGCACAAACAAGCCCATACATAATGGCAAAACAATGTCTACAACTACTGGGGCACATGGCAGCCGTCATGTTCGTGGTACCGTATGCATGGCTGCACACGAGACTGATACAGGCCTGGCTGAGAATGTTGTACAGACCTCATGTACATCACAGAAACAGGCGCTTAGTTATGCTGAACAACATAAAATCCACACTAACTTGGTGGACAGTACATCAGAATGTCTGCAGGGGGGTTCCCTTCCAGCGTCCACCGGCAACTATTACAATTACAACAGACAGTTAATAGGATGGGGAGCTCACCTGAACAAAAAAGTAGTGCAGATTCAATGGCACAGAGACAAGACTGACAACCACATAAACGTGCTAGAACTCAGAGCAGTCCGCAACGCCTGTGCCCACTTCCAGACTACAATACAGAACAAAACAGTCCAAGTGTTAACAGACAACACCACAACGATGTACTACATCAATCGACAGGGGGTGTGTGATCCTACAAGTTATGCCAGGAAGCTGTAAATCTCTGGGAGTGGTGTATCCCCAGGAACATAACTCTCATAGTCTCCTCTCTCCCTGGCAAGCATAACAACATAGCAAACAGTCTCATCAGGGATTTCTCCCTCAGCCACGAATGGGAAATTGACCCTAAAATGATAAAACACCTTTTCCACATATGGAGTTTTCCCTCGATAGGCCTATTTGCCAGGACCAAAACCAAAAAGTGCTCATGCTATTGCTTGAGAGCAGGCATAGGACACCAATCCCTGGGAGATGCATTCAGCATAAAGTGGGAAGCACCTCTACTGTATGCATTCCCACTGTTTCTGCTGATTCCGTGCTCTATCCTGAAAATCAGAGAAGACAAAGCAAGGGTCATACTGATAGCCCACAAGTGGCCCAGGCAGATCTGGTACTTGTACCTGCTGCGGATGAGTGTTTGTCCACCATACACCTTCCTGCCAGTCCGATCTCTGTTGACGCAGCAAAACGACCAGAGCCACCAGTTGAACATACACTCTCTCCACCTCCATGCATGGATGGTGATTGGCTGATGCCTTCAGAGGTCGACTATCCCAAAGCAGTGCAGTGAATTCTAGTCAAGTGCTGTAGACCTGCAACAAGGAAAACAGATTCTATCAGATTCTATCAGAAATGGCACAGATTCAAGATGTGGTGCCTCAAACGCAACTGCACTCCAGCAAGATCAGGAGTGGCAGAAATACTTACTTACCTGCTAGAACTGCACAAAGTGGGACTATCAGTAAGTTCAAATACAGTCTTCCATAAGGACAAAGTGGTACTTTGTACTCACCCTAAATTCCTTCTGAAAGTAATTAGCTCCTTCCACTGTAACAAACCAATATACCTACCTGTTTTCTTTCCTAAACCCCATTAAGACAACAGAGAAAGGGCATTACATACCTTAGACGTCCGTAGACCAATCACTTTCTACCTTCCCCTTTTGAAAACCTCACAACTGTATGTTTCATCCACACAACTGTATGTTACCCCTATCCAAACAAAGACTATCTAAATGGATCTCAGACTGCATATGCCTGGCCTACAACATATTCAACAGAGAGCCCCCAACAACCATAAGAGCTCACTCCATGAGAGCCATGGCAACGACAACAGCCTTCCTCAGTGGAATCCCAACTGAGAACATCTGTAAAGCTGCCACGTGGGGTTCTGTTCACACATTCACATAGCATTATGCAATACAATCATTTGTGAACATGGACATACGCTTTGGCCAAACTGTACTCATAGTGCCTGGGTCAACAATGCTGAAGCACCTTCCACCAAGCACCCATGGGGACACTCCTCGAAGAAGAAAGGAAGGTTACTCACCAGGTGCAGTAACTGTGGTTCTTCGAGATGGTTGTCTCCATGGGTGCTCCACCTCCAACCTTCCTCCCCTCGACTTTGGATTTATCTGCAGAGAAGGAACTGAGGAGGTGGTCAGCTGAGCATGCAGGATAAACGTTCTGTTGCGTGCCAGTGCTCTGTGTGCACAGCCAACCAGAGGGCACTGCTATCAGAAGTCTGCCACCCATGGGCACAGCAGCGTTGGTGCACCTAAGGTGGAGCACCCACGGGGACAACCATCTTGAAGAACTAGTTACTGCACCTGGTGAGTACCCTTCCCTTCTAGAAAGGAAATGACTTGGCAAAGGTCACATGGGAGTCTGTTGTAGGGCTGGGGACAGAACTCAGGAGTTCTGACTCCCCAGTCCCCTGCTTTCACTACTAGGCCTCACTCCCCTCCTCATGCTGGGGATGGAACCCCAGCATGGGTGGTGGGTGAAGCTGTTGTCTCAGGTCGTGAGCTCCCCAGCCCACCTCTTCTGTCTGTGGCTCTGCTCATAATCCGCCCCTGCTCTGCCCAGTCCTCACCACTCCCCACTGTCTCCCTCTTCTCTTCCCTCCCACTCTCTGCTCGCCTCCTTCCAGCCAAATCCCTGAGCCCAAATGAAGCAAATCATATTTGAAAACAAAACTCCGCACCCTTCTGCATTTTTTCTAAAGAAAAGAGAGTGATTTCCACTGCAAGCCAGAGGTTGAAGACTGGGCATGCAGACTGTACCTGTGTGACAGCACTAAACTTGGGAATAACAAATGTCAGACACAGGTTTTTGGTTAAACCCAAAGTGTATCAGAGATTTATATGCAAAAACTTTGGGGTAAGGGCAAGTCAGCAACACAGCATTAATTACACAAGGTGGAGATCTCATGGTTTTACATTTTCTTAATCACTATTTCTAAGGTGATTTTATATATTTAATGTTTTCTTAAACCTTCATAGAGGAATCGTCCCTCATTACTACATATTCCGCTGACTGAAATAAAGACATTGAAAATAATCCCTCACAGAGTTTTAATGTGTTCATAACAATTCTTGTTGTTTTTAGAAAAAGAGAACCCCAATTTATTGTGTGTAATCTCCATAACAACTTTAAAACATAAGTTTCCATATATTTTAGGCATAAGAAAGGACTTTATATCTTACTAAGGTACTGATTTTGGTGTAGGGTCCTTTTAAAAATAGATGATGACACTGTCAGAAGTTAAAAAGGGTGGTCTGGGTATGAAAGGCTAATGCCTGCTGAGCAGGTCACCCCAGGAACAAAGATGCAAAAGGCTCCTGGGGCTGATGGAAGAATTCCCACTGGACCCAATGGGTTTGGGTCAGTGTATGGGGCCCAGGTCAGTAGAACACTGGTGTCCTAGTGTCACACATGGCCAGCCTGGATTCTTCCCCATCCAGATATTGACGAATGTTCCCAAGACCCATCGCCCTGCGGCCCCGACTCCATCTGCACCAACACACTGGGCAGTTACATCTGCAGGTGCCGGGCAGGCTACCTCCCACCCATCCAGTCTGATGTCCGTTTCAGCTGCACAGGTAAGTGTCTGATACAGGGGATGTATGTGGGGCTCCGGATATGAAAGGCTAATGCCTGCTGACCAGGTCACCACACACTGTCCGGGTATGTCTACACTACCCTCCTAGTTCGAACTAGGAGGGTAGCGTAGACATACCCTGAATTAGTATCTTCCTATTCATAGAAGATCAACATAAGTAAAGCTTGGAGTTCATTCAAAAAAAAAAAAGGTGTTTTACATTGAGATTGTTTACTCAAGATAGCTGTCATCTCAATGTAAAACTCTAGTGAAGAAGACAAAGCAAAAGGGAGGTTTTACTTTGATTTTGCTAGACAAGGTCAATGTCAGACCCTCTTACCTTGGCTTTACCTCGGCTGGGTACATTAAAGTAAAAAAAACCTGTCCCTTGCCTTACCTAGGATTTTACATTGACGTGGTTATCTCAGTGAAGGCACCCCTCTCCCCCCTGCCACACATCCCTTTTATAGTAATGATATAGTCTAAAAGAAGTCAAAAGGTGCTCAGATATCATGATGATAGGCATTGCATAAGAAACTAGACAGAAGCAACCAGGTCTCCCGAGACATTGCAATGGATGTAAGGGATGCTTATAGAAAGCATTTGTTTTTGGAAGGGTCTGAGAGAAGAACATAGTTTGATTTCTGTTACTGAGAGGTGCCATCAGACCAAAAATCCTTTGTGCGTGGACCAGATCCCTAGGTCCAGCCCTAGGAAGACGCGTGGGTGTGTTACTGTATGTATATGACACAGAATATTGGCATAGGAGGTGGGAGTCCCAGCTTAAGCAGACAGACACACCCTAGCAGGGTGGAGCATTCACAGAGGCAAGGTAGCTGATGGGCCAGTGCCCTAGGGCAGCAGCCTGAGCCTCATGGTGGCCTTTCTGCTTTGTAGCCCAGACAGAGCCAGCGAGCAGGTGTCTGCCTAGGCGGGGAATCGCAGCTGTAGCTGCAGTGCTGACAGGGCCCCCGGTTGGGGTAATGTAGGTCACATGCCACGCTGCAGGAGCCCAGCAATCTGCCAGGGCAAGACACTCACGTAGGAGACCCAGGTTCCTGCCTCCTGGTTACAATGACTGTGTTACCCAACCGCAGAGCTGGAGAGACACCAGCCATGATGTAGCCTAGTGGTTAGAGCTCTTTCCTGAGAATTTGGGAGACCCACAGAGAAGGGATTTGACCCTCTATTGCCCTATCTCAGGTGAGTGTGCAACCCCCTGGGCTATTGGTTATAAGAGTTCTCACAGGGGTAGCAGTTTTAGTCTGTAACTTTAAAAACATTGAGTAGTCCTGTGGCACCTTAGAGACTGACACAAACAGACAGCATCATGAGCTTTTGTGGGTAAAATTCACTTAATCAGTTGAGCTGGAAAGATCGTGATCCTATCTACTTTTGTTACTGTCTAAATTGTCACTGGACTACTCCATTATTAGAGGGTGTTTTTTGATGGGTGGGAAAGGTGGCTCCATACTCTCTCCAACTGTCCTTGAGAAAGGGTAAACTGACTCCTGGATAAGGCGCCTCGCTGTGACTCCCAAGAGGAAATAGCTGCTTCACTGTCACCCGGATCGGGGATATGCAAACAGTCAGGTTTACTTGGCTGGTAACCCGTAGGCCTGGAAGTCACTGGTTGTACATGCAGCTTTTTAACCCCTTTGCATCCCTGGATGGGAAAGCCCAGGGAGATGTTAATTTCCCAGGCCACCGTATTTACCAGTCTGCACATTTGATTGAGGGTTTTTTTGTTCATTTCATTTCCTCCTAGAGGTCACTTCAAAGTGCCGGGCCCATTTCTTGGAAGAGAACGATCTGGTGAGGAACTCCCAGAACCAGAGTCTGGACACAGCTCACGGCTCATCCCCAGAGGATGTAGGTATCCTGGCAACATCACCAGGCCCCGCTGTTCTCAGGATGCTCATGGCAAAGGCAGCTCTGGGAACCCCGGCTGAAGCCACTCAGTGATTTTTGGGGCACCAGGGAGGGGCGCTTGCCACTTCCCGGTCAAGTAATTTCTTTAAGGACCTCACTTTAGGGCAGTCAAAACTGAGTTGTTTTGGAGAATCTGAGCCCGGGTCAGTGTTGCCTGTCACCCTGTCCCCAACAGTGAAGCCACATGCAGGTAGCATTTTTGGCACAGGGGATTTTCATCCCTGGGGCGAATGGCTGCCCTTCCTGCCAGCAAACCAGCAGAAACTTGCAGGTCACGGAAGCGGGGCAGAGATTCTGCAGGCTTCTTTCGGAAGAAGCTTTTCTGGAAAAGATCTTCCAAAAAAACTTCTTCTGAAAGAGAGCATCCACACTGCCAAAGCTCACTAGCGTCTACACTGAGTGGACGCTTTCTCACGTGTAATCTGTGATTACTATGGATGGAGTGGCCACCAGGGCACTTGTGCTTTTTCCTTTTTCCTCTTCTTTTGAAAGAACTCCCTCTTCTCTTGCCACACATGTCTTTTTCTCAAAGAGCTCTTTTGGAAAAAGGCTTCTTCCTCGTGGAAAGAGGTTTACCAATGTTGGAAAAACCCCTCTGTTCTTTGGATTTACTTCCGGAATAACACGATTGCAGTGTGGACGTAACTCAGGTTTTGTCGGAAAAACGGCCATTTTTCTGACAAAACTCTGTAGTGTAGACATGCCCAGAGTGGCAAGAAGTGTCAAATCTTGAGTGGGTGGAAAATTCCAGTGTAGAAAGCCATAGCTCCTCCCTACCCCTGAGCCCCACGGTGCCACCAGCAGAACCTCTGCCCCCCCCAACCCTCCATCCTCCTTGTTACTTCCTACCACCCACAGTTCTTTGCACTAATATTCTGCCTTCAAGCAACTGCTGCAGAGACCCAAGATCAGGGTCCCCGTATCAGGTGCTGCATAGCCACACAGAGAGGGTATGTCTAGACTACAGGCTTTTGTCAACTGAAGTTTTGTCGACAGATACTGTTGACAAAGCTTCTGTCGACAGAGAGCGTCTAGACTACATCCAGTTCTGTCGACGAAGCAAGCTGCTTTGTTGACATGACAGTGTTAGATGCAAAGGACAGTGTAGACAGACGCCTTCTGTAGACAGAACTCTGTTGACAAAAGGCGTTATTCCTCGTAGAATGAGGTTTACAGCCGTTGACAAAACTGCTGAGTTCTGTCAACATTATGTCGACAGAACTCAGCGGCAGTGTACACGCAGGTATAGTTTTGTTGACAAAAGCCCACTTTTGTCAACAAAACCCTGTAGTCTAGACGCACCCTAAGAGGCAGTCCATGCGCCTCAGACTTACACTCTGAGGGTATGTCTACACTACCACTCTAGTTCGAACTAGGGTGGTAATGTAGGCAACCAGAGTTGCAAATGAAGCCCGGGATTTGAATTTCCCGGGCTTCATTTGCATAAAGCCGGGCGCCGCCATTTGCATAAAGCCGGGTGCTGCTATTTTTAAATGTCCGCTAGTGTGGACACCTAGTCCGAACTACCTAGTCCATGCCGCGTGTAGCCGCGCGGCACGAAGTCCGCACTAGCGGACATTTAAAAATGGCAGCGCCCGGCTTTATGCAAATGAAGCCCGGGAAATTCAAATCCCGGGCTTCATTTGCAACTCTGGTTGCCTACATTACCACCCTAGTTCGAACTAGGGTGGTAGTGTAGACATACCCTGAATGAGGAAGACAGGATTGGTCACCCCACTGTACAGATGGGGAATGGAAGCCTTGCAAAATAAAGCAGCTTAGTGACTATGCTGCAGTTTGAATCCCCAGCTGCTGGGTCCTAGCCCAAGGCCTTAATCACAAACCCAGCCTTCCAGCTGTAGTACTGAATTTGTGTTGTGCTTTGTGCTTCTCCCTTCTGCTCTGGCTCCCTCCTGCCACCCTGCACAGGCTGCCTACTGCACTTTACTGAAATCCACCTTCAGGACCTTGGGAGAGCCCTGCAAAGAGAAGATCTCAACCGTCTGTCTGGAGGTAAGGGTATGTCTACACTACAGCGCTAATTCGAACTAACTTAGTTTGAATTAGTTAATTCGAACTAAGCTAATTCGAACTAATACATCCAGACTAAAAAACTAGTTCGAATTAGCGTTTTGCTAATTCGAACTAGCATGTCCACATTAAGTGGACCCTGAACCGGGGTTAAGGATGGCTGGAAGCAGTGCTGGCAGGGCATCAGATGAGGACTTAGAGTGTGGAGCTGCTGCCTCAGGCTAGCCGAGGGCTGTGCTTAATGGGGCCCGACCCCCACCCCGGACAGACAGTTCTCAGGGGTGCCCCGCTTGCAAAGCAGTCCTGGCTTGGATTTCCCGGAGTACCCACACTGGGCACATCACAGCACTCGGCCATCAGACCAGCTGCACTTGCTGCAGGCTGCCATCTGGGGAGAGGGGGAATTGGGGGGCTGCAGGAGAGCTTCCACCCCTAGAAGCCCGCAGAGCCAGCCCAGTCCTCCCCATCGGGGGCTCGTACCCCATTCCTCCCTCACCTCCTTCCACTTACCCTTCCCTAGCCCCCCTTCCTGATGTACAAAATAAAGAAAACGTGAGGTCAAAAATAGAATCTCTCTTTATTGAACAAAACTGGGGGAGACTGGGAAAAGGAGGTGGGATAGGGGAAGAGAGAGGGTGGGAGAGGGGAGTGCAACTAAAATGATTAGAGGTTTGGAACAGGTCCCATATGAAGAGAGGCTAAAGAGACTGGGACTTTTCAGCTTAGAAAAGAGGAGACGGAGGGGGGACAGGATAGAGGTCTATAAAAGCATGAGTGGGGTGGAGAGGGTGCATTAAGAAAATTTCTTCATTAGTTGCCATAATAGAAGGACTAGAGGACACCAAAGGAAAAGAATGGGTAGCAGGCTTCAAACTACTAACAGAAAGTTGCTCTTCACAAAGCAAAGATTCAACCTGTGGAACTCCTTGCTGCAGGAGGTTGTGACGGCTAGAACTAGAACAGAGTTTAAAGAGAAGTGAGATAAAGTGATGGAGGTTGGGTCCATGGAGTGCTATTAGCCAGGGGGTAGGAGTGGTGTCCCTGCCCAAAGTTTGTGGAAGGCTGGAGAGGGATGGCACGAGACAAATGGCTTGGTCACTGTCTTCGGTCCATCCCCTCCAGGGTCCCTAGGGTTGGTCGCTGTC